TAGTAAAGGGAGAGGGATTTGGACAAAATGATCTTGTCTTCATAAAGAAAGGTAATGCCTCTATAGCATCAAGTCTCCCCTATGGGCAGCATTCATCATTACCGTTCGTTGATCACCAGTATTTCATGTTTGCCCTCCAGTGGGTTCTGCAGATTTCTGGTGAATGTTAAGCCCTGTAGTTTCTTCCACTCTGGTTGCCATTATGAATTCAGTCTTTTTCAGCAATCTTGTGGTTCCCAGCCTTGTCTGTGGTTTGTTAGATCACAGGACTGGAGGAGTCCTCCACCCACAGGCTCCCTGCTCCCAGCACCCAGTGATTCTGCACCGGAGTTAGGAGCCTTTTGTCTCTGCTTCTAGCTTTCATTTCACATCTGCATATTTCATTTTCTTCTGGCACACATGGCATTTATTACTGGAAGACCGGTAAATCCTGGTCTGTTTTCTCCATAAATAAGAGCCTGCCACTTTTTAATCTGACCCTTCAGAACACAAGAATTAATTTTGATTTTAGCTGAACAAAGTGTAATTCGGAAAGAAGCCAGCTCCAGACCTGCTTTGTATCTGTTTCTGAAACTTCCTGTGTCTGTCTTCTTGCCTTCTCTTTACTGTTCATCTAAGAACCCTCTTTGTGCATTAAACAGAGTAACTGAGGAATGAATGCTCCCTAGCGATGGTAATTAGAATGTCAACTACCTTAGCACTGCACCCCAAACACATGCAACACCATTTAAATGTCACGGAGTGGGGTGTTGTTTTTTCTAGAACCAAGTAGCTCCACCAGGAGGGGCAAGAGCCGGCTGTCATGTGCGACCCTCAGTAACAAAGCGACACTTGGATCTTTTTCAGAGTTCCCTGAAGAGAAGAGGCAGCCGGGAAATGTACAAAGAGAAGAAAAGTCTTAGCCAGGTAAGCTGAGGTTTCCATGCCCAGAGCTCTAGTCCTAACAAGGACGCCACCCCATTCGGAATTTCCTCTTTGCCTCTAGGGCACTCAAAGAAACATCACCCGCCAATGCGTTGGAGTTCGCTCCAACCTTCTCAGGGTGAACATTTCCTCACCGCATCCCCAGCTCCGTCCCTTTGTCTCTCTCTTGCTCTGACAACCTGCAGGCTCTTCAGGAAAGAGAACAAACTGGCTATGTGTGAAGCTGTAGTAAGTGTTGTCCAGGGGTCTGACAGCTCTCCTAACCCCCAGAAAGTGCTGTGGCCTTCACAGTCATTCACGTAGTGTGATAATGCAACCATTGGCTGGTTGGGTCATTTATATGCCATTGGTTTGTGAGTATGTGTGTTTTAAATATGTAGCTGAACAATGCCTTACATTGGCTTGCTGGAAGGTAAAACATTCAGGCAGTAAAAAAAAAACTGAGAAAGTTCAGCCTTCTCTTACATACAGGATTTGTATTCTTCCGGGCTCTCTAGGTTTTTTGAAGTTGCCTTGCTGGATTCCTTTTCTCTTTTTAAAATTGCTTTTGGTATTAGGCGTTTGAAGGGAGCAATCTAGTTTGAGCAGACTCTAAATAGCCAGTGGTCACTGGAGAGATGCAGTGAGTCAGGCTTACTAGGAGGGCATCAAGGGCCTGTATGCACCGTCCCTGGAAACCCCCTCTTTATCAGTCCCTCATGTATTAATTACTTTTCCGTTGTGATAAAAACACCATGACCAAGGCCGCTTCTGGAAAGAAGAGTTTGTATGGACTTACGATTCCAGAAGGATAAGAGTCCATCACCATCAAGGTGGGGAAGCAGGGCTGCTAGAGCAGCGAGCTGAGATCTCATATCTTGAACCGCAGGCAGGAAGTAGAGAGAACAAACTTGGATTGACTGGAGGCCTTTCAATCTCAACGAGTGACGTATTTCCTCCTAAGCTTCACCAAGCAGTGTCTCCGATTAGGGACCAAGTGTTCAAATCCTGGAGTCTGTGGGGAACATTCCAACTGCCACACCCTGGTTCCTGTGTCCTCCAGAAAAATCAGTATCCCTTGAGGACTCAGCATAAGACTGATTTCTCCTTCACCCCACCCCCACCCCCAATGCAGTTCAGAATCCATAGATCACAGGAAAATCGAAGGCATCCCCCTGCTGGGTGTTTCTGCTAACATGGGTTTAGAATATGTTTCTAGTTCCCCGTCTCTTGCCCAGCAAAAGGCTTTTTTCTCCAAGTGCAATCCCTGACTGATGAAGAGGTTGGGTATAACATAACACGCCAGGCACAGGAGCTGTAGCTTCATGGGTCTGTGCCCAAGCAACCCGTGCTGTGTGGAGATGCCCCACACAGTCTGCAGGGTGATTGAGAGAGGAGTTTCTATTCAGCAGAATGGTGGAATGGAACGCCCTGGGAACTGCAGGTTGGCCACCAAAACCCCAAGGAAGCTGGCACCAAGGCGCAAGGTAGGCACATGAGCAGTTGGCTGCTGGGGTGCTGGCGAGATGGCAGACTTGCAAGCCAAAGAATATATACCAGCAGTGATATATTTCTGTTGCTTGACAAGCCTTTCTGGCTGCTGGTGATGGTGCTGGTCCCCCGTGTGTCTGACCCCACGCCGCCATGCTTGCCTTTTCTGCCCATGGTTGGAATAGTTTCCCTTGGAAAGATGGGTTTGATCTTGTGCTTTCAAACTGTGTCTGGAGTTATCCATGGGCTCACGAAACTCAAGCTTGATACTCCCAGTTTAGGATTCAACCTAGATCCATCCCTCCCCTGGAGTCTTGGTAGAGTTTCCGAGAAGTCTTTGGTGACAAGCTAATAACATATCTGCCAGCTGTTTGAGCTGAACTTGTCTCATTAGGAGTGGGCTCCTCCTCAGAACAGGCTGAGCTCAGCTTCCCTTGGGTAGAGGGACCCCTCCCTCTCTCTCGTGGACCTCACAGAGTAGTGTGGGTCCTGCTTCCGCTGCAGTGAAGGAGACCAACTCCTTCACTTTTTTATTTATCAGGTTTCAAGTTTTCTTCCCCCCTCCCCCCTCCCCTCTGCTTTAGTTCTGGTGGCAGGCCTTGTAGTGTGCATGGGTGTTGGTAGAAATGACAGCATGCTTCATCATGTGTTAGAGCACCCGCTGTTTGTATAGTTTCTTTCTCCGAGGAAAAGAAACCTGGACAGTGATGAGTCTCCGGGTGATGGCAGACTGGACATCTTTCAGCCATTTGTGGAATCGCAGCCATGACTATCCCTTGGTCTAGGTTTAAGGAGATGGGGACCGTGGTGCTGGGGAGGATGTGGGAGTGGAGGATGGAGGACATTAGTGTGAGGGCCAAGTTTTCTAGACATCAAGGTGACTGCAGGGCCCTGGGATTGCTGTTTGCATAAGCAGATGGTGGTAAACACTGGGAAGCTTCGGAGTCTCAATCTTCAGGGACTCCCCTTCCCCAGTCACTTAGTTCACCTTAGCCCTGGGAGAGATTGCAGGGAGTTCCTGATCTAGGCTCCTGTTTCACAACAATTGCTTCCAGAGCCAGGCAGGATCTTCCCTGGCCCTCCGAGGCCAAGGCCTCACATGGGTTACAACACATGGCCCTGCGCCTCTCTTGCTCTGGCCTGCTCGAGTCTCGGGCTGGAGGCAGGCAGAGGATGGGTGTCTGGTTGAAGGGTATTCTCATCAGTAGTCCCTGCTGAGGAGCTTGTCTGCCATGGAGGTAGTGGTGAGATCATTTAGGCAGTTTAGGCCAATGGGCACACTCTGGTCACCCATTTAAAGATAGACTTAGTTCTAACAGTTCCTGCATTTAATTCCCAGAAAAAAATGGGTTAGAAAGTATTTACAACTTGTCTCCATTAATAAGTATTATAGTTTCCTTTAAACTCCTCTTCATGTGAATAGCAGAGACCTGTCGGTGTGTGTGTATTCTGTGCACATCTTTGTCTAACAGGAAGCTGGGAAAGTAGTTTTCATTGTTCTGCTTTTGAATGTTCTGAGGAATCAGGGCTGTTTAAAAATATATGCCAATTGCTGTTACTGAGTAAATAGACAGTGAAGGGATGGATGGATGGATGGATGGATGGATGGATGGATGGATGGATGAGGGATGGAGCAGGTATGCTTTGTTAGTGTCAGGATCAAGCACACTGTATGTCCTTACAAACACATGAAGTCCTGTCTCAGAAAGTCCTATCCAATCCCACAATCTATGAACTCATTTTTACCTAGTAGTTAAAAGAGTAGAGCAGCCAGGCATGGAGGCAAATGCCTTTAACTCCAGCACTCAAGAGGTAGAGGCAGGTGGATCTTTGTGAGTTCGAGGCCAGTCTGGTCTACATAGAGAGTTCTAAGACAGCCAGGACTACATAGAGAGACCCTGTCTCAAAAAACAAAACAAGAAAAGAAATAGGGCAGGTAGCCTCACTTCTAGTTAGTCAAAACTAAGTCCTTAGGGTGGAAGTCCTCAGAACTGGAAGACACTCTGCATAGTGCTCAGAGGGTGTGTGTTAGGTAAGAGGTCCCAGAGGACAGCAATGGGGGCGTATCTCTCATAGGGTACCCAAAGGCTCCAAGGGATATCCCTTACATCATGCTTTCTGCAGTTTGCTGGTAGACTTCTTCTGAGTCTTCCAGGTCACTCAGTTCTCCTTGCACGAGTTTGTGGTCAGGGAAAAGTGAGCCAGCAGCAAGCTGGAGTCCCCAAGGAAGCAGTTTCTATATCTCACTCCCAGGTGGCTTTGTGCTGCCGGGATGTGGCAGAGAGTAGCTGCAGTTCTCTGAGCGCAAGGATGTTGTTGATCCTCAGTCAGTCACACACGGAAGGCTGACTTGTTCCATCACGTGGTTGACAGCCCTGGTGGCAGCAAGTCTCCTACCTGGTGTCAGTACTTCCTCCGTGTGACGCGGGAGCCTTTGCAGACATCACCCTTGCCTCTGTCAATCTTTTAGAATTTATGGGGCCAATCAAACATGGCTGCTTTGTGTAATTAACCGTTTCTATTTATCGAACACAAAGAATAAACCAGTTCCATAAGACCAAGATAGTATAGATTGCTTCAAGGCCTGGAGACCCAGGTTGAAAAGGCAGTTGACTTTTTTAACCTCCATCAGGCAAGGGCCTCGGGGGCCCTCTGAATTCTCTGGTATTCTGCTGAGAACCACTTCCCAGGTTTGTAAACTCTTAGCTTCTTTTTTTTTTTTTTTTTTTTGGTCTCTGTGTTTAATTTCCTGCTCTGTTACAGCAGCTAAAACAGAGGCCCGGAACCAAAGGCTCTAAAGTGGTTTTTGCATGACAAGGAGTCCTGGTGTCTTCGCTTGTGGTAGCCAAAATCTTCTCAGTGTCAGTGTGTGTTCTTATATAGTACCTCAGCTTTCAAAGTTCCTTGATGCCCGCCGTCTGTCTCCTTGTTCTGTTCTCATATCATTCTGGGAGACTTGAGGAAGGAGAGATACCAAGAGGGAGGATGAATTTCCCCAGCTCACGTACCTCAGCTAGTCAGTGGAAAAGCTAGCTCCAACTATACTTGTCAACCTCCCTGTCCTAGTGGAACCTTCCAGAACACCAGACACATGAGGCATTTATAGTCACCTCAGGATCGATGTACTTACCGAGTCTCATTAGCTCTACCACCAGCTTTGATGAGGGATTTTGGTGATTTTTTTTTTCTGGGTGCTGGCGATGAACCATATTGGCTCCTCATGGTTACCAGGGGCCACCATGTTCCTGATGCATGTTGGACTTTATTTTAACTTTCTCCTTCTTCATATGTAACTTGTGTGATGGTTTTTATGTGCATGGTTTTCCCCCAAAACTAACTGTTCATTTTCTTGACAAAGCAACAAGCTATGGGTCTTCCCAGGGTCCCATCTGCAGAGGCTCTGGTTCTCACTGTGGCTTTGTCATGGTTCCTTTCTGTCCCAAAGCCAACTGTACCAACAGGAAGAATGGTGTACGTGCGTGCGTGCGTACGTGCGTGCGTGTCGGGGGTGAGGTGTGAGGGGATCATAAAAAACACACATTTGGTATTTTCAGATAACCCTCCCTGGGGCTATTCTTGCCTGGCAGGATGACAGCGCGGATCTGAAGTGCCAGCTTCAGTTTGCCAAAGAGGAAGCCTCCCTGATGCGCAAAAAGATGGCCAAGCTAGGGCGGGAGAAGGACGAGTTAGAGCAGGAGCTGCAAAAGTATAAGTCCCTCTATGGTGATGTGGACAGCCCGCTCCCAACAGGGGAGGCCGGTGGGCCCCCCAGCACCAGGGAGGCCGAGCTGAAGCTGCGGCTGAAGTTGGTGGAGGAGGAAGCCAACATCTTGGGCCGGAAGATCGTGGAACTCGAGGTGGAAAACCGCGGCCTCAAAGCAGAGATGGAGGACATGCGGGTTCAGCACGAGCGAGAGGCAACAGGCAGGGACCACGTGCCAAGCATTCCTACCTCACCCTTCGGGGACTCACTGGAGTCCTCCACGGAGCTCCGTCGGCACCTACAGTTTGTGGAGGAAGAAGCTGAGTTGCTGAGGAGGTCCATATCCGAGATCGAAGACCACAATCGGCAGCTGACCCACGAGCTGAGCAAGTTCAAGTTTGAGCCTCACCAGGAGTTGTCAGGGTGGCTTGGGGACAGTGTATCTAAGGGTCCCGGGGCCAGTGTTCCCCTGCAGGAGGAGCTGAAGTCGGCCAGGCTGCAGATCGATGAGCTGAATGGGAAGGTCCTGAAGCTGCAGTATGAGAACCGGCTGCTGCTGTCCAACGTCCAGCGGTGCGATCTTGCTGCGCACTTGGGGTTGCGTGCCCCGAGCCCCCGAGACAGTGACGCCGAGAGCGACGCAGGCAAGAAAGAAAGCGATGGCGAGGAGGGCCGCCTGCCCCAGCCGAAGCGAGAAGGCCCCGTTGGTGGGGAGAGCGACTCAGAGGACGTATGGGAGAAGACCTCCGGCTTTGGAAGTGGGAAGCCTTCAGAGGCGAGTGAGCCGTGCCCAGCAGAGCTCCTAAGAGTCCGGGAGGACACCGAGTGCCTGGTGACCATAAAGCAGGAGGCCCAGCGGCTGGAGCGGACGGTGGAGCGCCTCATCACTGACACGGACGGCTTCATCCATGATTCAGGCCTACGGGGCAGTGGATCGGCCTCGCCTGGCATCCAAGGTGAAGGTGAGGGTAGCAGCCAGAACGAGCCCCCCTACTTGTTGGAGACCATCCACGTGAAGATGAAGGCTTTCAGGAAGGAGCTGCAAGCCTTCCTGGAGCAGATGACCCGGATTGTGGACGGTCTGTCGCCCTTATCCCACCTCACAGAGTCATCCAGCTTCCTCTCCACCGTGACTTCGGTGTCCCGGGACTCCCCCATCGGGACCCTGGGGAAGGAGCTGGGCCCAGACTTGCAGGTAAGGGGCCTCGCGGCTTCGCCTCCCTGCTCCGTCTCGTTCTTCCTCCTTCTGGCTGGTATGGCTGCTCTGGCACTCGCGCTGCTCACCGCTGCTTGGTTTTAATTTCAGACCTGCATTGTACTAAAGCCTCGGCGTCAAACAAATCCTCTCTCTCGGTTGGTTTCATTTTTTTTTTCCTTTCTTTTCATTTTGTTTTATAAGTTCCTTCTTATTTCCTCCTTCTCTCCCCCCCCCCTCCTCTTTGAATTGCGCCCTTTTTCCTGGTTTAGAGGGCCTTTCGTGACAAAGTTAAAGCCCAGTGGAGGCGCTAGGGACCCATGCAGCCTTCCATGGCCCCTTTCTTGGTGTCTCAACCAACCAGCCACCCTGACGAAGAAGCTGTGAGGAGTTTAAGACAAAATACCAACTCCCGCCACAGTCAGGACACTTAGACTCAGAGTAACAAGCGCCCGGCTCCCTCTGGGTTTATCGCCAGAGGGACAAGTGCAGTTCTGAGAAGTCTCAGGCATCCCCCCAGGCCCCACCTACCCCCTCTGGAAGATAAGCCGGGATGGGGGAGAGGAGCCGGCGCTGAGAAGGCTGGTGTTGATGGAAAATCCCTCCGCCACTCGCTCCTGCCGCCCAGGGTGTGAGGGCCAAGGGGAGCAGCCGTGCAAGGACCCGCTTCCCAGGCTTCGCGCCCCGGGTGCATGGCCCAGCTGCCGCCCGGACTGTGGCTTTGGCAGCTCAACAAGTAAGGAAGGCAGAGCCTCTCCCCTGTGTCCTTCATGGGTAGTGCGCCTGTTCCCATTGCATGTGTCCATACCCAGTGTTATGCCTAGCCGCCACCGCCACATTCACCCCACTTTCCATGTTAGCGCATCTTCCTGCTCATGCTCCTTTTGGCTTCGTTCTCTTAAGTGTTTGAGCTGATTGTTTCCATTCATGCTTTTCCCTGTCTGGTAGTTTTGGTTTTGTCTTTTTGTTTTCCCATTGTCTACCCACTTTTGTTTTTACCCACCCCTCCTTACCTACCTACCTACCCACCCCTTTGTCTTTTGTTTCTCGTTTAAAAATTCACAACAAAATAAATCCCCTTCGCGCACTTAACAGTCCAAACTGAGAGACCAGCTGGAGTGGCAGCTCAGTCAGGATCGAGGGGACGAGAGAGAGGGCCCGCGCCTCCGAGCCACTCGGGAGCTGCACCACCGGCGTGCTGATGGGGATCCCGGGAGCCACGGGCTGGGAGGCCAGAGCTGTTTCAACCTAGAGGTAAGTGAGCTGCTGGGGCTCCCTGCGAGTCCGCTTGCCTTCTGTCTCCCTCCCCCTTCTCACTGTGTGGCTCACTGTGAAGTTTCCTACCTGTGGCAAGGCCCTGAGGGGATGTGACAGGAGGAGGGATGTGGAATCCAGTAGAACCTTCCTGAATCAACATCTTTGCAATGAATAACTAGGGCTTGTGTGTAGATGCGTGTAGGTGACTTGCAACTTTCCTGTCACACAGAGTGAGGGCTAACTGCAGCCTGCCCTTCTCCCCCGCCACCTCCCCACACCAATACACCTGTGGGTTATAGCTAGAGTTTTCCTGCCTTGCCCACAATCAGGACAAATCTTTGTCACCCGCCAGTCCCACAGCCACTCAGACCCAACCAAGTAAACACAGAGACTTATTTTGCTTATAAACTGTATGGCCGTGGCAGGCTTCTTGCTAACTGTTCCTATATCTTAAATTAATCCATTTCCACAAATCTATACCTTGCCACGCGGCTTGTGGCTTACTGGCATCTTTTCATGCTGCTTGTCCTGGCTGGTGGCTGGCAGTGACTCCTTCTGCCTTCCTGTTCTTTTATTTCTCCTCTCTGTTAGTCCCACCTATACTTCCTGCCTAGCCATGGCCAATCAGGTTTTATTTATTAACCAATCAGAGCAACACATTTGCCATACAGACCCTCCCCCAGCACAGCCAAGTGCAGACCATCTCAGACACCTGCACTCAGGCCCGTGGTCCTAATCATCCTCTATGCAGACCCGCTTGGTAAAGCCACAAGGAACCCAAGAACGGGCTCCCACAGGACATACAGAACATCCCACAGCAGTGGGTGCCTGGAGATGTAATAAGACAGACTAGGCTGGCAGTTGAGCATCTGGTGGCTTCCTGTCCCACAGCAGAGAAAGCAGGCATGGAAATCAGGCTGGGTCTTTCCTGATTTCCAAGAAAGCTCCTTAGGGTTTCCCTCCACAGTTCCTCATTGCTTGTGTTGTGCAAGCCACCCTCACGGTGTCTGGAGACACTCTTCCAGCCTCTGGGCAAGATGGGGACTATCTCCTTTCCACCAGCAGCTTCCTCAGCCTTCTCCCTTGCCATGGTAACCTGGTATGCAGCGTTGAAGCTACCCACACAGTTCCTGTGTTGCTGAAGAGAGGTTACATTTCCATACAGGAGGGGCTTCTGAGTCACCAGTAACTCCCAGTACAGAATGGGCTGGGGAGGGTGTCAGAGTGAGGTTGGAAGTGTGGAGCGACAGGTTCCCCACCAGAAAAGGACCAGAACTTCTGAGGCGTTGAAGATTCTGGATATCTTTATCTCCGTGAAGCCGCTACCGCTCAGCTCTGAGGCCCGAGAGCAGCCCCTGCGTGGCAGGATTGAAGGGGAGGTTCAGATGGTAATCGCCGAAAGCAAGCTCACTGGGTGGGAAAATCTGGCTGTGTAGGTTGGGAAAGGGACCCCATAGCTGAGCTGAGTGGTACAGTGTCATGAAGTAGCTGCTGATGCCACCACCGGAGGTGGTCACAGCCAAAAGAGACCAAACATCTGCGGTTTGGGGATCTGTCACACACCGCCCCCCTCCCCACACACACCATGTGAGACAATGCATCACATCTTTACCCTTGTGCTTGCATACACACACACACACACACACACACACACACACACACACACACCTTTACCCTTGTGCTTGCATACACACACACACACACACCTTTACCCTTGTACACACACACACACACCTTTACCCTTGTGCTTGCATACACACACACACACACACCTTTACCCTTGTGCTTGCATACACACACACACACACACACACACACACACACACATCTTCACTCTATGGCTGGGCATCTGTATATCACCTCCAAAGCATAGAAATCAAAAAGTGTTAAAAAACATCCTGTGCAGTACCATTGACCCTTGTTAACCTCAGATGCCAGGTCACCTGAGAAGGCGCTAACTAGGTATATGCCCTAAGGGAACTCAGTCTGGACTCATAGGGTTGTGACAGGAAAAGCCCCTCATATGAGAGAGCTGAGCACATATTGGTATTAACTTAGCAGCAGCAAGCAGAGTCACTGTATCCCGTGGGGAAAGCCACTAGGTGCCGAGCGAGAGTGGCAGAGTTCCCGGCCTTCCAGGCAGAGCACCAAGCATGAGCATCTGGCACTTTAATATTTCCCCAGGACAGTTTTTAGACAGAATTTGGTGTATCCACTTTAAATTGCAAGTTAGACGTTCCTCAGTTTTATAACTGAAGTATAACAGAATGGCCACATACTGGAGGTACTTGTTTCCCCATGGATTTCATGAGTGAGTGTCTCAGGACTCCGAAACTTTCACAAGAAGCACTTTGGTAACCCATACAGCACACAGGGTCCCCATCTGAGAAGGCTGGTAGTTGCTTGGGTAGGGCGCAGATGTACACTTTTCAAATGGCACTTGGGTGACTCATCACCGGACAGCCCAGGAAGATACTTTTCCCAACCTTCAGTGGGTGCTACACCACTGATCTGTTCCTCAGGGACATTTTGAGCTCTGGGACTCTAGCCAAAGTGTCCATTACAAGCTTGGTCTCCTGAGTAAGGCTTTGTTTTCTCATCTATGAAGTGGGTCCAAGTACTGCTCTGCTTTCCTCCTGTGGTTATATGTAATGATTCTTTAAGCTGTGAGTGGGAATTGCTTCCCCACGTACCACGTGCAGTGGACAGCATAAAGGAGGCTGAAGAACAAGGGGCAGAATGTTCTAACAGAAGGGTCACCTCCCAGTCACTGGGTGAAAAACGTAGTTTGTCAGCACGTGGTAGTCCTGTGATGGACTGTTTGAGAACTGTAGCCCCCACCTCAGGAGGCTGGCTATTCTCGCATGTCCCGTCTAGGGAAGGTCTGTAAGCCTCAGAGCCCTTCACCCGCTGAATGCCTCCTGGGTCCTGTTGGTGCTGGATGGCAAAGTACTGCCTGCATGCAGGCATCACAGCCTTCAAAAACCAGCCACAGGTTTGCAGAGAGAAAACCGAATGAAGTCAAATCCACAGGGACAGCCAGTCTCCAGGAAAGGTGGATGGGTCAACCTGGGAGGTAACGCCAGCAGTACAGCTCAGAGAGCCCGGGAGGAGAGATCTGCTCTCCAGACTTGACTCTTGCTCTGTGAATGGCAAAAATGAGGCCTTTGCAGAGAGGTGACCACCAGGCCCTCCTCCTCACTGTTTTTATTGTTCTGTGCCGGCAGAGCCTGGCAGCCCAGAGCCTACACTCTCCACAGCTGTATTTCTGGCCACTGTCATTTGGTGACTGGCTACCTTACGATAACACCACCATTCTTTTGAATATATATTCAGGTTCCTTTCTATTGTATATATTTTAAAGGGGGAAATAAGTTTAGGAAACTGACGAAGGCCGGGTCAAGGGAGCTTGTTGTAGCTAGAGTTTTCCTGCCTTGCCCACAGTCAGGATAAATCTTTGTC